TATCATATTCAATTGTTAGAGTGTGATATTGGGTTTAAACGAAACCATTATAAATATTTCACTATGTGAAGTAAACCCTGTGAGTATTATTGTAACTCTCCTGCATGAGAAATCATTTGATAATTGTAATTGTGAGTTCTTGATCTCAAAGGGAGATTAAGACTAAATACATGAAGAGGTTAAACCTTTTGTAACCTGTAGAGGTTTATACTCATGATTCCTAAAATGGATAAACTCGTGAACCTAAAGAGGAGTGACTCGTTGTAACCTAGAGAGGTTGATACTCCTTGCTAATCAAATGTGTTTATTAGTGAATTTTTTAAGTAAGTAGATTAAGAATTAACCTCAAGTGGAGGTGAACTAGTATAAATCCTTGTGTGCATTCTTTTATTTCTTATTTCTTACATTAATTTATTAATTGTATTTGTTGTAAAATATTTGAGCAAAAAAATTATCAAATGTCTATGGGATATATTCAACCCCTCACCCCCTTCCAGAGCCACATTGTACCAACAAACTCATTTTACATAACAAAAGCAATTAAAACAATTGAATATCAAAGTTATATTTTGTTTTTAAGAAATATTACTAGCTTGAGGAATGTATTGCATCAAACTTACTAGTTGTTTTGAAATTATTAATGTCAATATTTTAGTTTGTTAAATAAAAATATTACTAAAGCAAGAAAACTCTTAAAAAATAAATTTAGATATAACATTTACCTTATACGTGAGATGTTAATGTTGGTAAGGGAAATTCTTGACTAAGAATGCTTTTCTATTTTTTTTTTCTTGCATTTTGTTATTGTGTTTGATGAATTTTTGTCATATATTTGTCAATCCAGATAAATTCAATTTAATGTTAAAATTAAAATTAAACACTTATTTTTAAAAAAGAAAACAACTTTCACCATAAAAAAAACATTAAATAAACTAACTCTATCCTGGAAATATTAACTAAGATGAATTTTGTATTACATTTAAAAGAAAATTTAAAAAATATTATTGTCATGCTGGTGTTACTTGATATTTCCATTTATTTTGTGAATTATTTTCATCCATATATGAAACAATTAATGGCATTAAAGCCAAAATTACATCAAATATCTTAAACAAGATTATATTATATGTTACAACAAAGTAATTGATGTAAGTTCATTTTACAATTTTAAAAAGTGCAAGGTAAGAAAATTCTAAGAATATTCTCACTGGAATAATTAAAAGGTTATCTAGATATAAAGTTGCACTTCAAAGAAGCTCAAGAGAGAGAAGAAAATTATTCAATTAAGTGGAAGAAATGAAGACAACACAAGAAACACAAGATGAATGGTGGAAGCATGGAAATAAACATAAGAGATATAAGCTGAAAAATGAAACAAAGATGAAGAGAAATTCAAATTGAAAATTGAAAATGATTTGAGTTGGATATTTAATCGATTTCATCCAAATATAGACAAGATCTTACCAACAATAACTTACCATAACAAATGTAGGACATGCATGACAGAAGTTTCATATATCTATGGCAAAATATTAAAGAAAACCATAAAAACATAAACTTTTTTTGAAAACAGAGAAGGAAGAAAAGGTTGAAACCCTAAATAATCTCAGAAACCGACATAGGTAATGATATGTTGAAGAAAAAGAACAAAAATAGGTGCATAAAGATAGAGTACATAGCACATATTAGCAAAGAGCGGAAGCATAAAGATAGAGCACAAGATCCGTAAAAACACATGCATGGAGAAATAAAGAAGGAAACAGTGAAGAAATGAAGAAGATAAATGTGTATGAGTAGTGGTTAAACTTTACGGCAAATGTCATGCCTTCAAATTATGGGTAGCTACCTTCAAAATCATAGGCAATTACGCTTTTGAATTTTAAGAAGCCACTTATGCTTTCTTTTTTCCTTTTCAGTTTAGTTTTTTTTTTCTATTTTTAAATTTTTTAACGTTTAAACCATCGGTTGGTTCTCATTTTTGTATGGTAATCTCAGTTGGGTCCTCACTTTTGTAACTGTCTCAATTGGGTCATATTTTTTGTAAAAATGAACCAATTTTACACTAACCGTTAAGTGCTTTTAGGCGACGTTAAATATAGCTGATGTGTTTATGCTGACATGTATTGTTTGATTACGTAGAAATTTTATTTAAATTAAAGAATTATGATATGGCAAAATTGAAGGTGTCAAAGAAGCTTCCAAAACCCTTCAGATGAACATCAATCCTTTCACCTTCCTCTTCACAACAGATTCCAGCATTACCATTGACACGCTCCTCGACCTCGAAGCCAAGTCCCACGCCGTCTTCTCCTCCGACCCTAACCTCCGCAACCTCTCTCGCATCCTCTCCTCCCTCCCATCCCTAATCGATAAACTCCACAAACATAGCGGCTACTTCCCACGATCCCTCCTCCAACACTTACCAAAAATATTGTTGTTACAGTGACCTGGTATTATATCCCAAAAATACTGTTGTTACAGTGACCTGGTATTATATCCCAAAAAATTTTCCCTTGTTGTTGGTGGTGTTGGACCCTCTCCTTTCACCGAGGCTTTTCAGACAGCTTTGTTGGGAGAAAAATGCAGGGAATGAATGAATGGAGGAAGATTATGCTCTTCTGGGACAATCGTTGAATTTCTTATATCACAACATGCTTTTTCTTTTGGAACCTTCCATTCCATTCTTTATAGTTTGAGGCTGATCAGGATCTGTTTTACTTGTTCCGTTTGAGTTTCAGAACCATGCATAGAGGTCTGTATGCATATGAATGATCCAAAGCTTCTGTATTTCGTTTTCGCAAAATGTTTCTTTTTCCATAATTTTTTATGTGGGTTCCTGTGGTGCCCTTTTCTGTTTCTGATTTCTTGGTGGATCGAATTGGTTCTCCGATATATGAAACCCAAACCAATTATGATAAATCCAATTCGAGAAACTTTAATGTTTATGATAAAATTGGAAATTAAAATCCCAATTATGTTTCTGGAATTTAATCCTCCAGAAAATCTCTTTTAAGAACCCTAATTAAAATCTAAATCTAAATTGGGAAAATTCCCAATTTGAAACCCTAATGCTCTTGAACCCTAAGGAAAATCCAATTTTCTGGTTTCCTTCTTCTCTGGTGTTGTGGAGAAACCACCTCTAGAGGCTTCTTCATCTTCCTGGTTTAGGTCGTGAAGGCGCATGCAGTGGCAGTTCGCACATCAGGTCTCGCCATTTTTGGTTTTCGCGTTTTGTTTCTGCTCTTCTTCTCCTTCGGTGCACTGCTTAACCATGACAGATTTCATTCTCTCACGAATGGCGGCATTGCGGCAGCGATCGTTCGGTGCGGCATAGCGGCAGCGATCATTCGATGCAGCATAGTGGCAATGATTCGATGCGGCGCAATGACAGAGACGCGACCCATGGGGTTTCGTGTTCACACAACAGCAGCGACCCGTAGTGGCGACGATGAAGGCGCGACGAGGAGGACTCGCTTAATGGTTTTTATTTTTTTAATTACCCAATCAATGTATGCCTGCTAATGACTTGCGCCGGCGAAGCTTCCCCAACGAGGTCCATGGGAAAGTGAGCCGAGTGAAGTGGGTGGTGGAGGGAGTTTGACCAGATTTGGACGAGTCTTAGAAAGGTTCGATTAGGAACAAATTCATTGGTTCAATTAGTAATAAATTTTGCCACGTCAAAAACTCTTAATTTTAAAAAAAAATCCACATAATAAAACACTTTTACATCAAGGTGCATAGGTCAGCAACTGCTAAATCCGTTTGAGAGCACTTAACGGTTAGGGTAAAATTGGTTCATTTTTACAAAAAATATGACCCAATTGAGACAGTTGCAAAAATGATGACCCAACTAAGATTCTCATACAAAAATGAGAACCAACCGAAGGTTTAAATTTTTTTTAAAGGATGGTTGAGTGATGTCAAAATTTTCTTATTCCTTCTATTTGTATTATTTATAGATTTTTTAAATATTTTTTTATAATTCATTTTTTAAAATTATATCATCAATATTTTTTTCTTAATTAATAGTCAATCAATATAAAGTCACTGTAATCAATAAGTAAATTAAGTTAAAACATTACTAAAATGCAATTGATTGTATTGAATTTTACTAATTTCTTAATTATAAAAAATATTACTTGTATAACAAAATACATTTTATGCAGATATCATTAATGAAATGAAAATATTAAAATTTGCTAATATTTCAAAAACAAGAAAAATAAGATTTTGTTCCTTACAAATCAAATAGAGATGGTATTAGATGTTCCTTTCTTGCATTACTCTAAAGAATATTCAATCAAATTTGGAGTATGTCAAAGTGTAACAAACCAATTATGTTTGTATTAAATTAATTTTTAAATGTCATTAAAATATTCTTGCATTTTACTTCATTTACCTCATGATAGTATATTATACAATATTTGACGTTACTTATAATACTATAATAATTTTATATTGACAACATAATTGTATCATTTTTAATAAATATGATTAAGATTCTTAAGAAAAACATTGTTAAAAAAAACCTTGTGAAACTGGTTATATTTAAATTTGTTTAATTAAACTTTATTTACAAATTATTAATTTATAAAATAAAATTACTAGCATTTAATTTATTATATAATAGATATTATTTTAGTTGTATTAACAATTATCTTATAACATTTTAATCAAATATCAATAACTAAATTATAAAATACTAGCATTATATATATAAATATTACTGATAACATATTCCAATAAAATGTATTTATAAATAACTAATTTTCAATCTGTTTAAAATTATATTGTTATGATTTGTAACATATGCAATTAAAAACAGCTTTTAGGTAATGGTTTCAAATTGGTATTATTTGTACCAGTAGCACTGTTAAACCAAATTTAACCTAAAGAGGCTAAATCTGAATATTAAAATAAAGGAAATCAAATTACATAAAATTGAAAATTGAGGAACAATATTAAACAAAAACAAATAATAGTGAAACTAAAAAAGTAAATAAGCCAATAAAAAAACTTTAATTTCCTTTTTTTTTGTAAAATTGACCAAAAACAGCATAAAAACTTTATCATGTAGAATCAAACCCTCATGAAAGAAAAGAAACGGATCAAAATGCCCCAAAAAGATGCAACAGCCTAGCATCTTCCACTGCAGACAAAATAGCCCCTACCAACCAACCCTGTAACCTTTAACCGAAAAACGAGAAAAAAAAAGAAAAAAAAAACCTGTTAAACAGGCAGGATTGAGGCACCTGTAACTTATTGCAATATTTGCAAAATGCAAGGTTCTAATCAAAACCCACCCCTCTTCTTTCACTCTCGAATCATTGGCCTTCAGAACAAAAGGAATGGAACTAATCATCTGCCATCAAAAATATGAAACTTGGATCTAGCTATATGATTAAAGAAACAGTTTATCAAGCTTGAGATCCTGGATCAGTAGAGCTCAACTCAGCAGAAGATCCATGCAAGTTAGATGCATAAGATTCGAACAACTTGGACAGCTTTGGCTGCATTCCCTGGCATATCTTGAACGTAGTAGGACCCAAGTTCTTGCACTGGAAAACAAACGCCAATGAAAAGTAAGTAAACAAAATCCAATTCAGTCACAGCAAGTTGCATTAAAGAGTAATTTGGTGCTGCAAGAAATAACCGATATCAGAAGACTTCACTCTAGCATAAATTTCAAAAAATCGACCAAAAATAAAATTTAAACTCATTCCGTTAAACAAAGCAAGGATTCTTAACTTCACAAGGGGTCAAAAATGATACATTTTCATTATATTGATGCATGTTAAAACTAAGCAGATTTAAATTGCATTTATGATAATCAATGCAAAACTAGATCAAGATATTACTACCTCCTGATAGAAAGCATTGATTTCTTCTTCTGTAAGGCCTTCATCCTCGTCTGAGTTCTCCTCCCAGCCAAGAGAACGAAGGAATGCAGCTTCTTCCTCATCTGGATATATTGTAGCACAGGGAATTGATTCTTTTTCTTCATTATCAGAAAGTCTTTGAACCTCTTCATGAGCATGGGTATTACCATTGCTAGTCAGTTCGGTACCATTCCCGAGAGACTGGGGATTGGCAGATTCATTAACTATTTCCCTATTTACTTCATCTGATTTCTCCACCAGGGGAGATGAAACCATTGGGCCCGAATCTGGAAGAACTGAAGAAGAGTTCATCAATGTTTTCTTCTTAATGAGATTAAAGAAATCATTCCGGCTCTGCACTTGAGAGATGGAATGTTTCTTATCCAAAGTTGAACCTAATTTAAGATCCAAAGAAGCTAATTTCCTTTCAGTGGAAGATTTTAGGTTATTGAGGTTCCTCAAAGGAGCAGATGCGGAGGCAGATGCAGAAGCATGATGATTTCCCGGTTTGCTGTTAGAATAATTTGTTTGGTGTGATACATCCTTGGAGGTAGGGGAAGCACCGTTTTCCCACACTACGGATTTCAGATCAGTAAACTTTCCAGATGTCTTTGGAGTGTCAGTTTTGGCGTTTACACTGCGAACAGATTGGTTTGCAATGTGCAAGGCAGAGGGTTGCTGTGGCACAGTCTTTGCAACTACATTCATCTCAGCATTTCTGATAGCTGTTTTGGGCTTTGATTTCTCAGAATTAAGAACCTAAAGAAAAATACACTGAATCATTAAAAACTTAAGAGAAAAGAAAATAACACGTAAATAATACTGTTAATGAAAAATATTTTTTATTGAATACAAGAAAGTAAATATACACACGAAGCTAGAAATATAAACTTCCAAAGTTTTGGAAGTGTGCCTTGAACAAGGAAACATCCAATTCTGATATTGTTTAAATAATGCATCATATACACAATCCTTATTTCTTCCACAGGTTTCTATAAAAACAGGGAAACAAATAGAGCATACATAATAATAACATGGTTTACACAATCAATTTTAAGTATCCTCTAAAAAAATCACAAATTTCAAGCAAAATTGCAACATCCACAAACCCATCTGAGGTGAACTAATTATATAAACATAGAAAATAATTCAATATTCCAGCAACGGGAAGATATTAAAAGTGAAGCAGGAAAGAACCAGCTTATTATGATATAAACAATATGTTTACAGTCATACATAGAAATGTCACCCATGACTTTCTTTAGAAACCTTGTATAAATTTATTTAAATTATGACAATTATATTATGCACACCAAAAGAAAAATTAAAAGGTTTTTAAGCAATATTAAATGCAAAATCATGACAGATCCTTATTCCAATGAACCACATAATCCCAACACACAGGTTCCTCATACACCATATAGATATATGCTGGAGTAGAGATATAGGTAGTCCAGAGCAATGTTATAAATGATGGATGGCGAAATATGGCAAAATTCAACCATATACACACAGCAATGCGACCTACGGTGCAACCTTAGCAGGCCTCCCTGCACAAATTGCCACCAAGGCGGTAGGCAAAAAATCTGCTAAACCATTCCACCATGGCACTGCCATTCAACAATATTGGTCTAGAATGCACCAGGAAATTCATGGGTACTCATGGGGAACCAGTATTAAGGACTTGCACATTAGATAAAAGTAACCAGTTTAAATAGTACACCAAGACAGTAAAAATTGAGATTATAGTTGGGATTGTGAAGTGCTCAGGAGATCATAACTCGTGGGATTGAAAGATAGACTGTAGATTCTACTTATAGACATATACAGTATATATATATATATATATATATATATATATATATATATATAAAATTAATTAAAAGAAGTCACAACTGTGACTTCACCAAGGGTATAGTCAAGCAATCAGAACAAACACAACTGATCGGGTTTTATTTTAGGGAAGGTGGTTTCTTAATAGACAAAAAGGAAAAAGTAACATCACATAAATAGGAACTACGTGAAACCAACTGTGCACGAAGAGTTCTTATTATTGGGCTTCGGTTTAAACCCAAAAACTAAGAATGCAACACAATACCAAAACATGGTGGAAACTCCACCGTTTCCACAATTTCTGATGACAATCACAATCCCACTCTGGCACCATCTTGCATGAACTCTAAATTGCACATGGTGGTGGGCAGAACCATGAAATCATGCAATTCCACATTTTAAATTGAGACTTTGACTACAATGGAGTAAACAGTTGATGACATTTCGAGATTTAAGTCATAGCATGTAGTAGTCATATGAAATATTTGTCATATCAACCCAGTGGGCAAGGAGCACAAAAACATCACTAATAAGAAACCACTGCTTGGCTAATGATACTACTTCATGACTCAAATTCAGGCTACAAGGTCATGTTTAAAATAGATAAACAGAAAACCTAAAAAGCAACATTATTAAGCATTTTGAGTTCCTAATGCTAGTACATAACAAGTATTCACACTAAAAGGACTCAATTTTTCATCAATAATTTTCAAATTTGGATGAGGATAGAAAGACTGTAATTTCATAAAACAATTAAAACAGACCCAAAATGAGGCTACCCTGGATATCTGCATAAATATTATAATATCATACTTAAAAATAGCTCAACCACTAACCCATGTCAGCTAACGGATCACACATCTTTGTTTGGTTCAGTTAGAAGGAGGTCAATCAAGGGCGTAAGATAGGATAATGAAAGCAACATCTGGCTTCCATAAACACCACTCTTAAGTAAATTCACACATTAATTAGCAAATAAAATAGAAAAAACAAACCACTAAGTGAAGCACCAATTCCTGTTAAAAAAACTAATAAACCCTCGTTCTTCATTTTATTTCACTGAATTATAAACAGAAGAAAGAGCAGTAGAGCCTCAAGATAATAGATACAACACAGGTCTCAGGATTAAAAGAAAATTATTCCACAAATTCTGCTAGCTGTAATATTAAACTTAAAATAATAGAGTGACGTAACTGTTCCATTGCAAAGAAGGAAAATTAAAGAAAGTGGGATGAAAGAAAAGGTAAGAGAGATGAAATTGAGTGAAAAGTAGACTACTTTGTTTGAGAAGGAAGCTAAATGAAAATGAAGAAAAGTTGTCATTTCAAATAAACATAAATAAACTAATTAAAAAAATATTTGTACAATTGCAAAGTTACCCATATATTTATTAATTGATGCTTTACGAATGAAATAACTATATAACTTAACACCTTCAAATTAAGATCTCATTTTTGTTCAATATGTTTATTCTCTGATTTATAGTTATGAAATACTATTTATTAAAAAATTACAATTGTTTTTGTAAAAATATTTAAGCTGCTTAAATTAATAAAAAATATCAATTTGAATATAATGTGGCCTAATCCTACCTTTAAGAGAGACATAATATTTGAAAATACTAGTTTGTTTTAAACTTTCCTCATTTTTACCTCATAAATAAAAAAAACAAAAAAAAGATAAAAGACATCTAGCACCAATGGAACGTAACACCCTTGAATACTTTCATTGCTACAGAAGGAAGTTTTTTCTTTCTTTTCATTACCTTGCTCCAGTCACTTTCCAATCCACACTTTCGTTTCAAACAAAAAAAATCCTTAATTTGATTTGTAATGAATCACTATATAACATCACTAGAACATATGACCATCACTAAATGATACAACAAAATATGGTGCAAGGATTTTAACCAAAACTCCTTCATCAACTCGTTAAATAATATGATATCTTATGTCTATATTATCTTCATAAATATAATGTACCTGACCATCATTAAATGCTACATATAACAAATAATACTATGACAAAAAAACAACGGTAACCATTTTAAATCTGATAGTTAGACTACACCCTCAACCATCAAAAAGACTCCAGGCTATTCAAAACACTTTTCAAATTGTTAACCTCAACTCAGTTTCTAAATAGCACTCCAGAAACAACAAATCCTAATCCTACCACTACATGGCACTCTGTAATGCAAACAAAATAAACTAAACTGCCAAAGTACAAGTCTGACTTCATATGATACAGTACAGCTTATTTATGCTTATACGCTAATTAAAAGATAAGAAAAATTACAACAATTTAAAATTATGTGCACATAATATCAATTAAAAAATAAGATACATATGGATATAGACTAATTATGAGAAATAAAATCCGGCAATGCAATATAAAATAAAATAAAGCTTGCAAAAATAAAAACTACAACAGCATTTCACAAGGTCTTACCAAAGCTTTAGGCATTGAAGGTGTTACTGGAATCAACTGTCTTGACTGCTTGATAGCCAGTTCCTCAAGCCTTTGGGTTTTCACTTGCACCTACAATTGATTAGGGGCCTTACTACTTTATCATGAACATTTACAAAATATAAAATCACTACAATTTAAAGAAAAGAATAAGAATAAAGTAGCTAGAGACACAGTACTGACTCAACTACCTGGGGAACAGACCGAGCTCGAGATGGAGTCTGTGCCAATGCCTCAGCCATATTAAGACTAGCTGTGGTACTTGATGATACAGACCCAGTTGTATTAACAGTGTGCTGCACAGAAAGAGATCCAGTACTGCTGCTCCCAATTAAAGTGGGCACCTCTGCTAGTGCAGATGTCCATCCCTCCCCTCCAATCAAAGCAGAACTACCAACAGGCAGGCTCTGACTAGTAGCACCACCCAAACCAGGAGATGAAACCCTCACCACTTCAGTTGTTCCTTGTTTGTCTTCAATACCAAGTGATGGAAAATCCTTCTCGAATACAGCTTTCTGAATACTACTACTAACATTACTCCCAGAAAGAATGCCATTGCTATTGCTATGATGGCTACCGCCACCAGATTTAGTGTCAACTGCGACTCTACGGGGTATAACCTCACTCTGTTTCCTGGAAACCATTGAATTAGAACGGCGCAATGGCTCCCTCTCCTTCCTTCCAGAAAAGAGGTTGGCTAATGGGTCAGGACCATCACTATCCCAGATATCACCGAAACTTAATCTATCTTTCTCTCTATCACGGTCTTTGTCACGATGGCTTCTGTTAAAATTACTATAGGCATGCTTGGCAGAGCCATTTATAGAACTCCTCCGGGAATTTGATGAGGATGTCCTTTCAAGAAACAGAGATCGAGCACTATCAAAATCACTACCGTTCTTAGAAGACCTATTCCTTGCATGATGAGCTACAGAAGGAGAATCTACAATACAATGCCATGACAGTTAGTATATTTTTCCCCTTTTCGATGGTAAAACACATAGCGAAGGTTTTAAGTTGCAGACAAATTGAGCCGCATTTGCGGTCATACAGTAAAAAAAACTACCACAATTGCAATCATGGAGAGTAAAAAAACATTGATGTTACAAATAATGGCCAATAACCACTTTTTCACACAGCGTGACCACGAACAAACAATATTCATATATGTGTAACCATGGCCTACTGAATAAACACAAAAGAACTACAAATGTACATAATTCAGATAGAATATCTAAATTACCATTGTGAGTAGACGAGGATGGAAAATGTTGGACTGAACTGCCAGCCCCAGCAACACTTCCAGCACTTCTCAACCATTCTGGAACTAATGTGGGTTCACTTCTTTCCATAACTAAGACTGAACATCATCAGAAACAACAAAAAATAAATTGGGGCACCTCTTCACCAAGTCCCACCCCCAAGTGGCACTATCACACTTGTTTGTAAGTGTATAAATCCCCTTCTCTACCATGCACCAGTCATCACTCTTCAAGAGCCCAACCTAATCAAGAAACCCCCTCCGGGAAAAACTCTTCCCAAACAACAAGAAATACCAACACTTTTTGCAGTGAAATTCAATTACTCCTCCATTTACTATCTTTCAACAGCAGCATGGATATAAAGAACCCAGCCGTAACTGGTCCAAAACAAGTCCAGAAACAAGACTATATGTTCCCCTAACAACAAACTTGAGTATTGAAACCCGAGGAATGTAGCCAAACTACTTCTCAAAGCTAAGCCTCCATTATTAATCAAAACACGGATTTCCACTATAAACCACTCACAGATGTTTTACCACGCACCACTACGGCAACAATGCCAGAACTCAATACTCACAGCATTGCAAACCCATCAGGTTCTCCAAAATTTTAAAAAAATAATAATAATAAAAACCCTAGAGGGCAACCCTATATTCAGTGTGGAAAGAAAATAGGTAATTTAAAAAAAGAAAAACAGAAAATCAAGAATAAGGACAAACAGGAGATTAATTGATTGGGTTAAAAAATCACTCCTCCAGAACCTAGGGTTACGGCGTCAAGGCTTGATTGCGAGAGCGAAAAGCTAGATACAAAAAGAGAACCAACTAACCCTAGAGGCGAGGCAGTCATTAACTATGGGAGTAAAACGTCGACGTTTGAGAGATAACCGGCAGAAACCTTATCGCAGAATGCGAATAGAGAGAAGAAGAAAATAGAGAAGTTGGTTTGGTTTAGGTTGAGAGTTGGAGAATGAATGGGCAAAGAGTGAAAGAGAATGGGAGAAAGAGAGAGTGTGTGTGTTAGAAATAGGAAATAGGGTTTTGTTTTTTGTGTAGTGAGATGTGTTTGTGTGAAATTGAGAGGAGGCGAGAGAGACAATGTATAATTTTCTGTTAGTTTTGGATACTCTGAAGCAAAAGTATGAGTTATGACGATCTCTCTCTTCTTCAGTTTTTCTTCAAATACAGTAATAACAAAATCAGAATAATATTTTTTGTGAATATTTTTTCTACATGTGTTTTATTTTTGTTTCCTTTCCTTTCTCAGCCTCTCAATTTTTTTTTATATTTTTGTTACAATTTTTTTTTATATTGTTGAATGAGTTTTTTCTTTTGTCATATTCGGTTACTTTTTAATTTTATTATATTTGTGATATTTTCTCTACTGTTGATTATTGACCATAGCCATCAGCCTTCGTGGCACCCTAGTGTGGCGCGGTGCACATTCGCAGTACATTATTTTACACAGTTTGAGAAAAAGATATTTAAAATTATACTATTTAGATAAGATTACATATTTTTATGGTAAATGTGATTACAGTTTAATTTGCTCAGATTTCAAGTAAATCAGACAAATAATTTGAGTGATTTGTGCATGAAAACCATTAACACTTTTAAAATTTAAATCTAGACTAGAAATTTGTTATTTGTTATTTTCTTAACATATATTTTCTTAACATATCTGTTAACAAGATTGGATTCAGTCGAAGAGATTATTCTTTCCCACAAAATTAAGTTCTGATTAAATTATGTTTTGACCTTGAACATCCTTGTATATACTTGAACAATGTAAATTAAATACTTTTTGTTATGTTTTTTTATTGTAGTTGAAATTAAAAAAAATTAATAATTTAAATAAAAAATTAGTTTTTAATTAGTTTTATTATAAAAATTCAATACTTTTTAATTAAAAGTAAATTAAAACTTTTCTAATATTTAATTAAAGGTTTATTAAGTTACTTTATCAATGTTAGGCTAGTAATTTTTTTTTCATTTAAGAAGTCTTTCTTAGCCTTTGACACCATTATTGAAAAAACAAAAAAAAAACAATAGAATTACTTACATCTTTTGTTTCTTAGGACATTTTTTTTATTTTCCTTTTCTTTCTTTTCTTCCTAATAAGTAACATTACCTACTAAATTGTTCAAATAACATTCTTTTATTTTGCAATCTCATTATGCTTCAAATTGATTGACTCATTCTATTTATTTCTTTCGATTTCCTTAATTAAAATTGATACAATATCAACTCTACCAAATTATCTGATAAAATCTCTTGTAAGTCACTCTTAATTATTTTTTGTTGCTTATTGTAATTTTCTCTTTAATTACATCTTTCATTTTGATGACACATCTCCTAACTATGGCCCAAAAATATTAAAGAAGAGCTAAAGTAAGTATGGAAGATGAAATAAAGCTCTCTTTTTTATCTTCATGGAGTATTTCTACATATTGTATTAAGAGTCAAGTAGAGTAGGATTTATTTTTAGGCCTTGTATTAAGGGCCAAGTAGTATAGGGTTTTTGAACAATCTTGCTTAAGTTGTAGGAAAATATTTGTGCCTAGCTTAAGCTAATTTTGGGTGATTAGTTTTGTAACCCTAACTTGGTGGAGGGTGCTCCATATGAGACATGGTGGTCACATATGGTAAGCTCTTAGTGAAGAGTTTTCTTACAAAGGTAGTGATCATATGTCATGTTCCTAATGGGAAACTTTTGCTAAAATGGTTTTTCACATGACAAGCTCTTAGTGAAGAGTTTTTTTATATAGGTAGTAGTCATGTATCATGTGTCATTTTCTTAGTGAAAAACTTTGCTAAGATGACTTTCCACATGGAAAACTCTTAGTAGAGAGTTTTCTTACAAAGATAGTGGTCATGTGTTATTTTTCAAGTGGCAAAATTTTTGCTAAAGTGGTTTTCCACATGACACTTAGGAGTGGAGATTTTTTCTAAAAATTAGAGTGTCACATGTCAAACTCTCATTCACCAAGATAAGATTGTTGGGGTTTAGTGTAAGATGTCATTTTAGGGTTTTGGTATAATTTGGAGACACCTTCATCTATAAATAAAGTTGCCTCTTCCCTTGTAAACCCACTTTTGAGATAATTAAATGTTGCTAAAACTTTGAGTAATTCTTAACTTGTTTATAAGTCATGGCTAGAGCATCCCATGAAGTTCCTCTAATCACAATTCTCTAAAGTTGGTCCAACCTCTCTAAGAACACCATCAACCTTCTTCATTCCACCACTTAAACCTCCAAAACCAAGAGCAATCACCACCATCTCCATAAC